TAATTATTCTATCCAATATTTCAGTGCATAAATGGGAGCTCTACTTCATGCTAGAGCAGTAGTGCCATAGCAATATTTCTGTGATTAAAGTTACATAGGTAGGGCTTAACAAATGTGAATGCTATTTTTTCTTTTCATTTTGTTTTTTTAATCTGTGAACTTCAATTTCTGCTTCAATTTCCTCCTTAGTAAAACAAAAAACATATTGAGCTCAGGGTGAACTATTATCTGAAGTTCTCTGCAAGGTGCTTAAAGAGATGCCAAGTATGGTAATGTCTGGGACTCAACTGCTTTGCAAGGTAACAAGGGCATTCCCCCTCCTCCACCTTCTCAGAAATTCTATCAAAAAAACACGATGGAGGGGTTTTCCTGTCTCTTCTGGTAGAGGAGCACTGCTCTGCAGAGGCACTCAGCAGTTACCTACCTATACAGCTTGTACTTAGATGCAAAGGCTTTGCCACAGTGCAGCTGAGGGCAGTTGTACGGTCTCTGCTCAGTATGAGAAAGTGTGTGAGTTCTCAGCTTGTCCACATTAGTGAAGGAGGTCTCTGATATTTCACATTGGCATTTTCCCTGACTTTCAGTCTCTTCACCTCTTGGCCTAGGAACTAATTTCCAGCCTGTCTCATCCTCCTCCTGCTTTGCATCTTGAATCCAGTTGGGAACACTGGGAAAAAATGCCGTCATGGCAGGCCTAGTACAACGTGGCCATGTCAAGCAGAACTCGAGCCTGCAGATGTCTCACTGTGATGCTGTCTGGGTGCAGTTTCTGTTGGAACTCTCAGTGACCAAACTGCTTTAACAGCAAAATGTCGTCATCTGGAATCACAGAAGAATTGGTGTTAAGGTCCTGCATCTTCCACCTGAGCACACAAACAAGGATGAGCATCAACAAGCACCGTAGACACGTGAAGACACTCATGCTGCATGTTCACAGACTTGGAAAACTCATATCTCCAGAATTCATGTGGTTCTTTTCTCCCTTAAGCCCTATCTCACTTGCCTGAATAAAGCTTAAGCTTCTCTGAATAATGTTTCTGCAACTATTAACAGCCAGTGTTACCTGCTGCATGCATGCTGCATGCATTTTGTCCTGAAATAAGTGGGTGTCTCCCTGTGCCTCCACGTACCCCACCTTTCCCAGGCTCTTTTTGTGGAATTTCTTCTCATCTTCTTTTTCTATGTTCTTTGTAGTCTGTTCTCCCTTCCTCTTGACCATTGCTCACACGGAATTCCTTTCTAGAACTTCCCCGAGGAACCAAGGTATGTATCTATGTCTTTTCATCCTATCAGCCTGTTACACTTCTAAGACCATCTCCTAGCAAACCAATCCGCACAACCACTCATAGGTTAACCAGGCTGTGGAAGAAAACTTGCTACTACCAGCAACATCACACCTTTTTCAGGAAGACAGAAATGCGACTTCTCCTGAGGATGCTATTAGTCATTGTGCTTTCTGTTTTCTATCAGAGGGTAAATTTTCCCTCTCTGAATTACCCTCTCTGTTGTTCTTCAGTTGTGTTTGTCTTGGCGGTAGAGCGCTGCATTTCTGTAAGGTTCTACCAGCAGTTACCAGTAATCAGTTAGCTGGAATAAAAACCTCAGAAAAGATCTCTTTCACTGAATTTAGCTGCCTAAGAAACTTCTTAAAATAGCATCAAACCCTCAAGCTTTTTCTTACTCCATGATTGCTTCAGAGGGAGGAACTTCCTGCCTGTACATCAGCATGAGTGCCAGTTGTGGGCAGGATGTGCAACTGTGAGGGAACTAACCAACCCCCACCAAGAAAGTGCACCAGTGAACGTTATAAATAGCTGAAATAACAATAACGGTAGCTACACGATCAATCACAACACCATGAGTGTCTCCCACGGGGTGGAAAACACCGGGAAACGGGATGACTTTAAGACAATGTGTCACTAAGCATGATGTTTGGAAATGTCTGTTAAGAATGGAATTCAGCTTTGTGCAAGCTGAACCTACACAGGCAGAGCACGATAAAAAAAGGACAAGAATTGCTGAGGTGCCATTTTGATACAAGCCAGTGTGATGCGACAGCTGCTCCTACCCTTCAAGATGCACAAATCCTGTGTTTCAGAGTGGTTTTCCTTCATAGGTGTCTGAGACTGCAAATATTTCACCTCTGTATGGGGTGGGTGCTGGAAAAGATAAATGCTTTCTATTTCCCGTGTCAGAGCTGCGCACACATTCCAAGAGTCTCTGTCGTTTTCTCCAGGTATTTACTTCTTTCTCTCTGAACAAGCTCAGCCATCTGTGCTGGTTTCAGAACTACCTGAAGGAAGACAAAATTTGAAAAGTGCTGTCTTTAATAGTACGGTACATGAACTATCTATTGCTCTCTGAGCAATACACAAGTTAAGATACGAGAATCTCTGAAACTGACTACTGTAAAATGTAATTAACCTGTCCTTAGAATAGTGAGGTTTTTGCAAGACAAAAGGACTCTACCTATTTGAGTCCGTTTCTAATTCTAAAGGCATGTCATAGGACACTCTGAGAGCTGCAGAATAAGAAAGAAAAACAGAAAAAAATGAGGGGCTTGCACATTAACAGTGAACTCTATAGCAGCTTGGTTCATCTAATAGTAATAGCAGAAGCACAGTGACACAGATCTTCCGAAGATTAATGATGTAGCTCATGCTTGGCTAGAAAACTCTGCACAATCCATATTTTGTATTCAAAGTATGTTTCCAATGTGCTCACGTTGATTCTAATGCTGTAGCCACCAGAGAAAGTCACCACAGCACAGAAACACTTCACCTCCACTTGTTCTGAGTATCTTTCAGACCATAGGGTTGGTACCAGCACTGAAGAAACTCTTTATCATAAGAAAGTTCTACTCTAGCCCATAAAAAATACTTCTAGCCTATTTAGCTCCTGAAAACTCTGATAGGAGTAGTACAGAAAACTGCCATCACCAGATGAATCTCTCCTATGCTTCAGTTGCGCAGAGGTTGAGAAGTTTTCACAGTGAACATCAAGCTCAAAAAAAGATATCCACCTGAGGACTGGACTCCCACTAGCTGTCAGCTGACATGGCATATTTCATTACTATGCGTCAGCTTTGTGTAAATTTAAGAAACTCCCTGGCATAAAATCCTTTGCCTACTTTGACAGTTTTTTCCAGTAGTTACACCTCAAAGAGTGGCTCAGTCATATAGCACTGCTGCACAGCTTCTGCCCCTGCCAATAGTACAGAACTGGGACCTGTACAAAATAACAGGAGAAACTAAGAGGAGTCTGGATTCGTTCACTGACCACCAGCTGAGCTGTGTCAGTCCCACTGCAGCAGATTGGCAGAAGTAGGGAGGCCAGGACAATGGCCCTGCCTGAGGAGTACCATATTGTGTAGCTACAGTTTCTCTTTTCTAGAGAGCATTGCTGGTGTATAATTTGAGTTTGTCCACCCTTGTGTCTGGTGAGCCTTGCTATGCCAGGAGTCCTTTCCCTCCTGAAGGCAGAGGCTGCACTTCTGCGTTCACAACTATTCTGGGACTGGTGGAGTTGGCCATGGGGCTCTAGGTCTCTTAGCCCTCACCACCTGGTTCTGAATGGAGCTGGCCCAGCTATTCTGCAACTGCAGCATGGAGCCTCTGAAGGAACTCACCCTGATGAAAAGTAAATTATTTTTCAGTCTTTCCTCCCTGAGGCGCATCCGTGCCCCATTCAGGTTTCCTTTGCCATTTTAAGTTGTTCAGGCTTCTACTTGCTCAGGTGGAAGACATCAGCAAGACAGCAGAAAGCAGAAAGCTGTAATTCTGATGGAAGCTCAGTGTCAGCCTGGAGCTGGAGCTCAGAACAGCTCCTGGCAGAGCTGGCACCTGCCAGGCAGAGGGGCATGAGCTCCATCCTTCCCCACAGTCACTCCAATACAGTGACCACAATACTGCAGCACTGCTCCTCATACCGAAACAAAGCCAACCCCAGCCCCATTATAGGATCCTAATCAAGTTCTGCTCCATCTCCAACTGCAAAGTGCTACTGCCAGACCTCACGCTGCTGGTATGACTTCTGTATCCTCTGTCATTTTCCAACATTGATCTCATGTCAGTACTGTTGACCTGGTTGCAGTCCTTCAGTACCGGCTCTGCCAACACTACAGCCAGGTGTGAAAATCACTTTTCTCCCTCCTCACACACGCAGGGCTGCTCTGCCCCTGTGCTACAGCCACACATCCAACACACATGGCACTGGGATCTCCTATGCCAACCCTTACTTCCTCACAGTATAGTTGCTCCATAATTTGTAAGTAGAACTCCAGCTCCAACCTCAGCCTCACCTCTCTGCCTGACCCCGGGTGCACCTTGGACGTTCCCTTTGCATGTATACAAGGCTCCCTTTCAAATCAAACGGTTCTATGACTCTATAATATCTGAAGCTCCACTCAGAGCCCCCTTGGCCACACGGTGTGCTTTTCCCTCCTGAACCCCCTCCGCGGGCCGTTTCACCCCCCGAATCCCCGCCGATCTCCCCACTGACAGCGCATAGAGGGAACATAAAGGCCGAACCAATTCCGAACCGCGGGGAACCCCGCACGCAAAATGGCTCCGGGGCGACTTATCCCCCAAATCGCTACTTCCACTCATTTAGCTCCGAAGGACCGAACGTCTACAGCCGGCAGCGGGAAACAGCGGAGCCGCCGGTTCCACCGAGCATCCCCCGCCCTACTGAAAGCCCCTCGTGCCGCCCCTTCCCCGTTTCCATGGCGCAGCGCTGAGGGGAGGGCGGGAGGAGGGCCGGGCCTACGTCCCCCAGCTGCCCCCTCACGCCCCTCTCTCACCCCTCGCTCTGAGGAGAAACCCGGCCGCGGAGGGGAGGGGGCCGCCCTGACGCCACCCCCAGGCCGGTTCCGCTGCCCGCACTCACCCCGTTCCCCCGGGCCCCGCCAGGCGCGGCTCCGGCCCAGGCCGCGGCGGCCCCATTGTGCGGGGCATTGTGGGAGTGACGTCACGAGCCCCACTTCCGGCCCGATGGCGGCCGCTTCCGGTTAGAGCGGCCGGGACGGGGCGCGCGGGGCATGCCGGGACGGGGCGCCATCCCGCCGCCGCCGCTATGGTTCCGCTGGCCGGTGCCGCTCTCCTCCTTGCGACGGTAACGGTGGCGGCGGGCGGCTGGGATGCAGCCGGCTACCTGCTGTACTGCCCCTGCATGGGTGAGGCCCTCCCGCCAACGCTGGGCCCGGTGCCGGGGTCCCGGCGGAGGCTGAGGCCCGCTCTCCCCTCTTCCCGCAGGCCGCTTCGGGAACCAGGCCGAGCACTTCCTGGGCGCCCTGGCCTTCGCCCGAGCCCTCAACCGCACCCTGGCCGTGCCGCCCTGGATCGAGTACCGGCACCACCGCCCGCCCTACACCAACGTGAGCCGGGGACGGGGAGTGGGGGGCGGGCAGAGCCGGGGAGAGCCGCGGGGTTGGGGGGGGATCACGGGTCCCCGAGTGAAGCTGTCCCTGCCTCGCAGCTGCACGTTCCCTACGAGGAGTACTTCAAGCTGGAGCCCCTCATGCAGTACCACCGCGTGCTCAGCTTGGAGCAGTTCATGGAGCAGCTGGCACCACAGCACTGGCCTCCCGGCAGGAGAGTGGCATATTGCTTTGAGGCTGCGGCACAGAGGAGTGCTGACAAAAGCACCTGTCCCATGAAGGTGAGGTTCTACTGCACCCCCAGAGCCTGTCTGGATCTTGCAGGCCTTTAAAAGGAGCAGTTGCTTCCTGCTGCTTGCCATTCATTTGCAAACCTGAGAGCTGTCAATCCTAAATCGCTCTGTGTGCATTCCTTTCACTGTGTGCCCAGTTGCACCTTCCTGCCTTTCTTTGTCAGCAAATGCATGGGGTTCATGAAGGCTGTAAGTGTGAGTTATGTTGCTTATGAGTTTTTGTGACTGCAGGGCGAACAAATTTAGAACAAAAAAGGCTTTTTTTCTGGTCCTTGTTTGTTCCCATATGTGGCGTAGTTGTTCAAGTATAAGTTGTAAAGCTGTCTCTTTAAAAGCAAGTTTGTGAATGGTGGTGCTCTTTTTCTTTTCTATTTCCTTTGCCTTACTTCTCCGTTAGTTTTATTTAATGTTTCACTTTCTTCCTGTGGAGCTGATATGGGCACACGTATGGGCTGTTATATCAGTTTGTGCTCTTCCAGTAACAGAGAAATAACTTGACTTTGCAGCTCAGGATCTTGTTAGATCTGTCTTTCAGCCATGTGTGTACTGAGCAAATGCTTCTCTCTCCTTTGCAGGATGGAAATCCATTTGGTCCATTCTGGGATCAGTTCAAAGTGGATTTTGATAAGTCTGAGCTCTTCAAGGGGATCTCCTTCAGTTCTGCATACAGGGACCATTGGCTCCAAAGGTAGCATGAAGCTGGAGAAGTGTGGGCTTTTAGAATCACTCAGGAAAACAGTTCCTCTAGTCACTTTGTAGAACCATCGTAATTTGAGGAGGAGATTGAAGTGATTACATAGCAATATAATAAAAGCATTAGTACTTTTTTTTTTCATTAATTGTTTGTTGAGTAGGCTCTTCCTGTGGGCATTAAATATGAACTCCTTTGGGCTGATCGATTTCTGAGCCATGCTGATCATGAACTATTTTGCTGCTTGCTTTATGTTTACAGAGTCACAAGTGACTTTAGCCATATCAGTATGTTTGGGTGACATAATTGCTATAGCCTGGGATGAAGACATAAGCTAGGTTATAACTCATTGCTTCATGTATCAGATTGCTGTCCTTTTATCTGTCAAATAGCACTATTTCATTTGTTACCAGGTATGACGTAAAAGGTGGTAATGGAGTTTTGTGTCAGTGTTCTGTTCCTGTAGCAAAATGATTAGGATTTATCTTGTGTAAATTTGGTATAAGAGATACTGTATATCTCAGGGTGTTCACAGTTTCCATTCCAACCTTCACAAACTCACTGACAGTGCTCTTTGTGCCTAATGATGCATGCAGAATTGCTATATTCCTGTACTTCTGTGTGTTTCCCCTTAGGTTTCCACCATCTGAGCACCCTGTACTTGCTTTACCTGGAGCTCCAGCCCAGTTTCCAGTCTTAGAGGAGCACCGACCCCTCCACAAGTACATGGTGTGGTCTGATGAAATGGTGAAGAAAGGAGAAGCCTACATTCATTCTCTGCTGGTTAGGCCCTATGTAGGAATTCACCTGAGGATCGGCTCAGATTGGGTATGGTTCCTCTGTAAGGCTTGTTGCTGTAACCCATGGAATTGCTGTAGATGGGGGTAACTAACATTCAGCAGAAAAAAACTTGGAATAGGAACTGCCCTTCTGAAGCCTGATTGTATTTACATTCAGCAGCTCACAGTGTTTGAGTGCTGGAAATGCTGCTGGGATTCCTCCTTCAGACAGATTGTAATTCCTGCTGGCAGTGGTGAGGGACTTGGTAGTGTTTTATTGTGCTGTTTTCATTCTAACATATTTTCTCTTTTTCCAACAGAAAAATGCTTGTAACATGTTAAAGGATGGGACGGCTGGGTCTCACTTCATGGCTTCACCTCAGTGTGTGGGCTATGACCGCAGCACTGCTGTGCCCCTTACCATGGACATGTGCCTGCCAGACCTCAAAGAGATTAAGCGTGCTCTCAAAGTCTGGGTGAAAAAGACAGAAGCCAAATCTGTTTATATTGCCACTGATTCTGAGCCCTACACAAAGGAAATACAGCAGTTCTTCCAAGGAAAGGTAAGTCTTCCAAAAACCTGGTTCAGCAAAAGTGCTTCAGTAAAAACTGTCCTCAGATTCTGGTGTGTTACTCCCACAGACAGCAGACACAGTTGTGAAATAGATCTCCAGGGAAATCAGGTTTAATTTCAGCAGATAATCTAAGGTATCAAAGTAACCTGTTGTTGAAATACGATTAAAACTGCCTACTGAGTGAGTGGAAAGATTGGGCAGAGGTTGGCACGCTGGTTTTTCTTTCAGAAGCTGAGGGGCAAAGTGTCCCTGAAGCATTTGGAACCTTGTGCTAAAATGAACACCAGTAACTAGCCTCTCTAAGGACCTCAGCCTGTCTTCAAACTTTCTGGACTCCGTTTTAATTCTGTAGATTATAAGGGAGAAATGCAAGATGTGATGATCCACATTTATGTCTAGGTGATCTTTCAAAAATGATTTGACCTTTGTCTACTCATAGATGAATTATAGGGCAACTTAGGGCAGAATCCACTCTGTATTGTATATTCCCATTTCTCGTATGATGTGAAGACATTTGGACAGTAATAATAGATGTTTAGATTCATTTACTTTCCTTCTTTTTCTCCACAGATCAAAGTTGTAAGCTTGCAGCCAGAGGTGGCTCAGATCGACTTGTATATTCTTGGCCAATCTGATCACTTCATTGGGAACTGTGTCTCTTCATTTACTGCATTTGTAAAAAGAGAGCGCGATGTGCATGGAAAACCCTCTTCATTTTTTGGCATGGACCACCCTCCAAGGTTACGAGACGAATTCTGACCAAAAGAGGAGCAGGCTTGATAGTTCTCAGGGCTCTGAGCCTGGTGCTTCGCTGTGGGACCATGCTGGTGTTGACCACTCTGTGCAGAGCATGCTGCCTGGTTGTGGCAGAGATGTTTCCAACCCTTGGATACTTTGCACAGTCACTCTTCTGTCTGACTTCACTTCTGTGATACCAGACAGAAAAGAAATTTGAAATCGTGTAGTTTATTGGAAACTGTATACTATATGTAGTTATATAGCTCTCCATCCTCTTTTGGGGGGGTTTGCTAACAATTATGAAGAAGCTGCTCAAATTTCTTTTTTTTTTTCTTCCTCATTATTAATTTTATCTGGAAATATCATTAAGCTTCTTATTGTCCAAAACTGATCATAAGTTTCTTTTCAAGTGCAAAGTATATTCAGGAATATTGTGGTCCCTGAATAGGAGTGCAAGATGAAGCTTAGGAAATTGTAAGGTCTGGATTTTATTGAGTGCCATTGCCTTACTGGACCCACATCACCTCAGTGCCTCTTTTTCCATCCCCTGTAAAGAGATTTAATCCCCACTTAAGCAGTGCCGTGAGAAGGAGCATTTGTGGGGCACGGTGATCTCAGTGGTGCTGGAGAAGTGTGGTGGTGGTGTGTTTACATGTGGAAGTTGTCCTTTCATTGGACACAGATGGGTAATCTCTTAGCCAGGCAGAGTTTGGAGACGTAGGGCTTCGTAGCTGTTGGTCGATGGTGGAGGTCTGTGATAGAAGTGTAACTGTTTTTAGGTCAAAACATCTGAAGTAGCTGTCATGTGGATTGGTGTAACTCATCCTTAGGTCTTTGATAGTGGTTTGGGGGTTTTATTATTATTTTTTTTTCTTTATTTTTTTGTACTTTGTGAAAACAGTCCCTCTGACAGCAGAATTCCTGCCTGTAGGGTTTGCTCCCAGCACAGCTAACTGGGAACAGACAGCAACAAGAACATTTGGGTGATGAGAGGAAATCCGTTTGGTGCAGTTTGTGTGTGGCAAATCCCAATTTGGCCAGCATCTTTTCTTCACCCCATCCTTTGGCTGGTGCTCTGCAGCACCCAGGGCTCGGCTTCAGCTCCGTGTCTGCTGGCCCTCCTGCCTGTGCCTCTGCACTGCTGGGCTCACGGAGGAGCCCGGGCCGGGCGGGGAAAGGCCCGAGTGCTGCGGGGGCACTGAGGTGCTCCTTCCTTCCGTCTGGAGAGCCGCGGGAATGGTGTTTTTTTTAACAAATGTGTTATTTTTTTAATAATAATAAAATCGGTTTTGTATTCACTCGCTGGCACTGATATTTCTTTCTCCCCAACCCTTCCCCCTTCCCATCCCCGCACGCCTCAGAGCTGTGGCGGCGGGCGGCGCGCGCTCCCGCCAACCCTTTGTGGCGGCGCCGCTGGGCGGGAGCGCGTTGCTAAGGAAGTGCGCGAGGGGCGGGGGCGCGCGTTGCTAAGGAAGTGCGCGGGGGGCGGTGGCCGCTCCCACCCCTCCACTTCCGGTGCCGCGGGAGGAGGCGGCCGCGGGGCTCCATGGTGACGGCGCAGGTGAGTGCGGGCCGGGCCGGCGGGTCGAGGTGTCCCCGTAGGGCCGGGACTGAGCGCGAACGGCGAGCAGCGGGCGGAGGGCCGGCGCTGACAGCGGGAGCGAAGCGGTCCGGACTGGGCTCCCGTGCTTAGAACAGAGCAGAGAAGGACCGAAGGACAAAAGCGGCCGGGCCGGGATGTGTCAGCTCCGACATCGGGGAGATTTGAGCCGTGAGAGAGCGGTGCTGGATTTGGGGGTGCCTGCAGTGAGGTGAAGAGGGTCTTCCTGAGGGGAGCTGCGGGTCCGAGCAGCGAGGCCGCGGACCGGGATGCCCGCCGTGCTCTCAGCCCCGCTGCCGGCCGGGCCCGGTACCGAGCGCTGCTGCTGGCCGGTTTGCCGCTTCCCTCACACGCAGCCCTTCCTTGTGAGAAACCGCACGGAATCACAGCGCTTGTAAGGGACCTCTGGAGATCGGCTGGTCCGACCCCAAAAGGCTGCGTGTTTGTTAGGAGCGATCCCTACTGTGAAAAGCAGTGATATGCTGGTGCAGCTGCTCAGGGAGTTTTGGGGTCACTGTCCTTGGAGATGTGGCCCTGAGGGACGTGGGCAGTTGGCACTGTGTGTTGGGGGTCTTGAAGGTCTTCCTTAACAACCGTATGGTTCTAACTGCTCTGCTTAGTTTGTTGCATGCTGTGGTCGTTGGGAGTCTGCCTCCAAATGCAGTCGCTACACCCTGAGCTGTACGTGGGCACTCAGGAAGCAGATGAGCCGTGCAGCCAGGGCTGCAGAGAGCTGCCTCACTGTGCCCAAATGGAGCAGTGGAAGTTGTTCTCTTCATTGTTGGTTGGTGTTGGAGAGCAGCTCATTGCGGTGATGTACTCACCTAGCTGGTTTGCTTGACAGTATTTGCAAGCACAATGACTGTACTACATCTGGCTGCCTTAATGATTTGCTTTGTAGTCAGCTTGATTGCAAGGCTTTGTGAAAACTTTGGTGTAAAAATCTCTGTCTCTCGATTCTTGGAAGAATGTAAAGGTAACACCAGCTTTCCCTGGTGTGGAAACACAACATTCAGGGGATGAAAAATGGGCAAACTATTTAATGATGTTATTTTGAATCCTCGCATCTGCTGTTTGGGACATCTATTGTGCTGTAAGTAGGCTTCTAGCAAACGACTTCACAAGTTTTAATTCATGAAAAAGCTTTTGGGTGGCATTCCAATGCACTACTGTTGCTTCACAAAAAAATGGGTGTAGGTTTTAAGCCTGTAGTGGCAGGATGGTCCTGATGATGCACCACATCACTTCAGATGTGAGTTAATTGTAACATAAAGGTCTCATAAAAATTAGAAGTTTTCTTCAGTACTCTGAAGATATAAAAAGAAGTCACTCAGAAAATACCACATTGATATTTTGATAGGTGGGTGAAGAGCTTAAAGCACCTGATTCCCTTTCAAGTTGTATTCCAGGCAGTATGGGCAGAGCAACTCTGTACTGGATTTTCAAAGTAGAAGATTTACATCAAAAAGCTAAATGATACCAAAATTCTGCTTGAATAGATGAGTTGAATCTTTGACTACTGGCAAAATTGCCATCTGTAGAAAACTGCCTTTGTTTATTCCTCCTTTGTTTTTGTTTTAGGCTTCTAGCACTGGATCATCTGTCGATCAGATCACGTCAGCCACAGACCTGCTGTCATGTCTAAGTTAAAGAGCTCTGAGTCTGTTCGGGTGGTGGTTCGATGCCGGCCGATGAACAGCAAAGAGAAGTCAGCTTCGTACGAAAAGGTTGTTAATGTGGATGTCAAATTAGGGCAGGTCTCAGTGAAGAATCCACGGGGAACATCTCATGAACTGCCTAAAACTTTCACCTTTGATGCTGTGTACGACTGGAATTCCAAACAGGTTGAACTCTATGATGAGACCTTCAGACCTCTTGTGGACTCTGTTCTGCAAGGTTTCAATGGGACAATCTTTGCTTATGGGCAGACTGGAACAGGGAAAACCTACACGATGGAGGGGGTGCGTGGTGATCCTGAAAAAAGAGGGGTCATCCCCAATTCTTTTGATCACATCTTCACCCACATCTCTAGATCTCAAAATCAGCAGTACCTAGTTAGAGCTTCTTATCTGGAAATATACCAAGAAGAAATCAGAGACTTGTTATCAAAGGATCAATCCAAACGGCTGGAGTTAAAAGAGAGGCCAGACACAGGTGTGTATGTTAAGGATTTGTCTTCCTTCGTTACAAAAAGTGTCAAAGAGATAGAGCATGTCATGAACGTGGGAAACCAGAATCGCTCCGTTGGTGCCACCAACATGAATGAACACAGCTCTCGATCTCACGCCATTTTTGTGATCACTATTGAATGCAGTGAGCTGGGACTTGATGGAGAGAATCACATCCGTGTTGGAAAACTCAACCTGGTAGACCTTGCAGGCAGTGAGCGTCAAGCTAAGACTGGAGCACAGGGGGAAAGGTTAAAGGAAGCTACAAAAATCAATCTCTCTCTTTCAGCTTTGGGCAATGTTATATCTGCCCTAGTAGATGGCAAAAGCACACACATTCCATACCGGGACTCAAAGCTAACTAGGTTACTGCAAGACTCATTAGGTGGCAATGCCAAGACCGTGATGGTGGCCAATATAGGCCCTGCCTCTTACAATGTAGAGGAGACTCTTACGACACTGAGATATGCCAACCGTGCCAAAAACATCAAGAACAAGCCAAGAGTGAATGAGGATCCTAAGGATGCTCTGCTACGTGAATTCCAGGAAGAAATTGCTCGACTCAAGGCACAGCTGGAAAAGCGGTCTATTGGCAAAAGAAAGAGGAGGGAAAGGAGGAGAGAGGGTGGGGAAGAAGAGGAGGATACTGAGGAGGGTGAGGATGAAGGAGATGACAAAGATGACTATTGGAGAGAGCAACAAGAAAAGCTGGAGATTGAAAAGAAAGCTATTGTTGAGGACCACAGCTTGGTAGCTGAAGAAAAGATGAGACTGCTGAAAGAGAAGGAGAAGAAAATGGAGGACTTGAGGCGAGAGAAGGAAGCAACAGAAATGCTGAGTGCTAAAATCAAGGTAGAATTCTTTGCCATGCTTTCAAACTTCTTACAAGCAATTTATTTAGGCTATGGGGAGAATAGCAGGTTGCTTAATTTGGAAAACTATTTCAAAAGGTTTCCAGAATAGTGATTTGTGTTTGATCAGAGGATTTTGTTTAGTTTCCACCATTAATTACATTCTTCAATATTCATGAGTTGTTGCATTGTCCTTATGTGCTGATCTTGTGGAATCTTCAGCAATCTGCACAATAAAACGTGATGATACATCTTATCACAAGCTGTGAAACAAACAATGCTTCATTGTGCAACAGATCATTAACAAGTTTTTTTTTACATGAGAATATGCATTTTAGTTCTTCAGATAGGCCACACTGCAGCAGTTTGTATTTCTAAGTAAGTTATGGCTTCATTAACCCCTGCATTCTGTAGGGATGTTTAGAAATAGCCATTCTCACAGCAGCTGACTTAAAAGAGAATGTTAAGTAAGGGAGGTGCCCTCGTGAAGAAGTTGGATAAGCAGAGGAAGTTGGGTTCTGTAGGAAAGACTTGTTAGCTGGTGCCCAGGAGAGAAACTTACAACCTTGTCTTTTTCTTTCAGGCAATGGAAAGCAAACTTCTGGTGGGAGGGAAAAATATTGTGGATCACACAAACGAGCAGCAGAAAATCCTGGAACAGAAACGACAGGAGATTGCAGAACAGGTACAAGCAGCAACGTTAGTTACTTTGTACAAAAAAAAAAAAACACCCCAACCTACCTGCAGAACTTTTATAAATCATTGTATGAGGAGAAAAGGTTAACCCTGGCATTGCTTTAATGGCAATTGTTGATTTCAAAAGAAGGGGCAAGGGCTTGCATCCTATTTGTTGTGTGAAATTTGTAGAGAAGGTTTGTAATATTCTCTTCCAGTTTTTTACATGAAACTTTTATATCCTATCTATGTCTGTAAGTGAAGAAATAATTGGAAGGCCTCAGACTGTGACAGTTCAGCTGTTAACTCAAGAGAATGGGTGCTAATTATGTGTTTATTTTCTTATTATTTCTGTTATGCATTCTTCGTTGGTGATTCTTTGACTAGTATGAATTGATTAAAAAAAATAATAATAAACACAGCATTTCATTACTTTAATTAAAGCTTGAGCACTTATTCACACTATCTGATTCCAATAGACCATTCAGCAAAATAAAGACAAAGAAGAGCTAATGCTTCTGGTATTTCTAAGGCAAGAGATAGGAAGAATTAGAAGCTAAAGCAAAAGCCCTCGAGCCCAGGGAAGTAAAAACCTCCTGAGTGTTGGATTCGTGCATGTCAGCCTGGAGAGAGCAATGTAATTGTGGTCTCTGATATTGTGCATGACATTCTTCAGAAACGTCGGGAGCGAGAAATCCAGCAGCAGATGGAAAGTCGGGATGAGGAAACACTGGAGCTGAAGGAGACCTATAGTTCTCTTCAGCAAGAGGTGGATATAAAGACCAAGAAACTTAAAAAGGTAAAAAGAACATGACTCCACATCTCCTGGGTTAGAAATAAAATCAGCTTGTGTGTGAGACTGAGAGGAACATTGGCAATTTATGACTTTGGCTCCCATGGTCTGTTCCAGTTATTTTCCAAGCTGCAGGCAGTGAAGGCAGAGATCCATGATCTCCAAGAAGAGCACATCAAGGAGCGCCAGGAACTGGAGCAGACCCAGAATGAGCTTACGAGGGAACTAAAGCTGAAGTAAGTCCCTTCACTTCGTTGCCTGCTGGTATCTGTAACAGAGATTGTTTCTATGGGTGG